GGCTGGAGTGGTCACTAAGAGCAAGAGGAATGGAGAAGGAAGGCTTGTGTCTAAGTGTCGTCGTTGGTGTTGTAGAAGGTGGGAGATTTTTCTGTCCTGCTTGCCTTGGCTTGGGTGGTCACCAGGAGAGCTTCTTCCATATAGACCATCCAACCTCAAATTGAACAGTATGTACTTTGCTTGTATTTCATGCATGTATTTCATTTCAGGTTTACTAAGAGCAAGAGGAATGGAGAAGGAAGGCTTGTGTCTAAGTGTCGTCGTTGGTGTTGTAGAAGGTGGGAGATTTTTCTGTCCTGCTTGCCTTGGCTTGGGTGGTCACCAGGAGAGCTTCTTCCATATAGACCATCCAACCTCAAATTGAACAGTATGTACTTTGCTTGTATTTCATGCATGTATTTCATTTCAGGTTTTTTGTGCATGGTCTCAGTTCCCACATATACATGGCTGGGTGAGGTCTTCAGCTCCATTTTAACATGGTCTGTGACCCATGCTGGGCCATCATTTCCTTACGGGTGCAGTCCAATGATAAAAATATGTGGAAGCCCATGCATTTCACATGGTGCTTGCCTGTAGTCTGAATCATAGGATCATAGAATAGTTTGGTTTGGAAGGGACCTTTAAAGGTCATTTAGTCCAATCCCCCAGCCAATCTGAACCGTTTACTCCCTAAACTGCAGTACCAGGAAGGAGGGGACCGGATTCTTTGCACAGCCTGAGACTTTGCTGACAATTAGGCTGATTTTCAAAGCCTGGTTGGTGTGTGGTGTTCCTGGAATGAGCAGGAATTGGGTCAGGATAATGTCCTGTGTCCGTCTGGAGGTTTTGATGCTGGTAACGCACAACTCCGGGGCACCATACCTTTATGGTGCATGACACAGCATGAATTCACTTAGCAAGATGCCATTCAGTTCCTTGACTGTTCTGTGGGTGATTGACATCTCTTCCAGAGAGGAGGAAAAAATTAGCTGGCAAAGTTACTTTCTGGCTTGTAGGAACATGTTTGAATGAGGCTATTAGATGCTGGAAACAAAAAGCAGTTTGTTTATGTGTGAAACCAGATCAGCTGTGGTCAGGACCAGAGCTGGGCTGTTCTGTCCTTCCCCTAAAAAAAACTGCCTTCTCCACCTTGCGTCCATGGCAAATATTTATTTTAAAGGGGTTTTTTGGAGGTTCTCCCTTGAGTTCCAAAGCCTTAATGAGTTTGAAAAATAAATAATATTAAAAAAAAAAAAGAAGAAAAAAAAGTCTTTTGCTTTCATATCTGTGGTTTCAAGTGACTCCAAATAGCTCAGGAGTTCAAAGATGCCTGTTGTTCTTTATAAGGAATATGCATCTGTTGGGAACAAGGGGTGTTTCTGTTGCGCTGTCAGCACCTTCGAAAGATTCCCAGATACTTTGGACTCTGTGAGAAGTCACTGGTAGTCGGAGGCGGGTGGCTGAGGCATGGCACGGGAGGCAGGACTGCTCATCTGGCCCCAAGCGCGGCAGCCAGCACCCTCTCTGCGGCATTTGCCTGTCCTGTAATATTGCTGTTTGCAGAGACTCTGGGGAGTGCAGCACCATCACAACCCAAGGGTTTATTTAAATGTGTCTAACTCAATCAGTAAAACATTATTGCAAATTAACTCGGTTCTGGCTGGCACAAATCCTAATGCAGAAGCAGTTAAAGTGGCGTTACCCTGGCTGAAATGGGTGGTGTTGGTGAACCACCAATGTAAACACAAGTGATGTAGACCCAAGTGATAATAAATGCACCAACACGGTGCCATGACTTATTTGTAGGTATGTTTAGCTGGTGATCTGCGTTTGCTGTCAGGCAGGGCAAAATTTGCTTCCCACCCAAAGGCCTGGAAATCAACAGTGTTTTGGGCTACTTTACTTACTATTTACTTTGCTTAACTTCTTGTTTCCCCAATACAAAATAAAGTGAAGACCTCCCTCAGGACCTGATTAGTTCAAAGAGATTTTTTGATTTTTTTAAAATCGAATATGTTTTTCCCTAAACATGGAGCTCTGCTGTTGTACTAGGGGCAACAGCCGAAGACCAGTCTCTTCTCTGGAGGAAGACGAAGGTGTCTTGACTTTGCTCCTGTGGTGTGAGGAGGTGAGGACCAACATTTTCACCAGCTCTTTCTCTCTCTTTCTGTCTCAGCTTCTCAGATGCTGATGTTCACTGCATACCTCGCAGTTGTAGTTGCACTTTACCTCGTCCCCCTCACCATCTCGTCCCCTTGCATAATGGAGAAGAAGGCTCTGGGACCAAAGCCGGCCATTATAGGTCACCGCGGAGCACCGATGGTGAGTAGTCTTATATTATTAGTACTGTGTTGTCTGACTCTTCTGCCTGTGTAAAGGATCGTACTGGATCTGATGGTGTCCAGGCTGCTCTCCAGAGAATATATATGACAAATATAACTGAGGCACCCCTCCTGGCTAGAATTACTGTGGTGGTAAATCAGTACATGAACCCAGAGTCGAGTCGAACGCCCCAGATGTTCTAGATGCCTTACAAATGAAAGGGCAATCCTTGCCTTGCTCAGGGTGGTTTGTGCCGTTGCATTTTTCTGGCTGCTAGTTCTGCTGTTTTTTGCTCTCCAGGCTTGGCCCTTGAGCTGCAGCAGTAGAAGTCTGGGACATTTTCTTTTTTTTTTTTTTGGAGCTTGAGGCTCAGTCTTCGTGTCCTTTGCAGGACCTCACCAGCAGTTCTTAAACTTGGCTCGCAGCAAAATGCCTTGAGTATGTGGCAATCTGCAAAAACAAACAAACAAACAAGCTGTGCTGACCCTACTTGACTGCACGGTACTCTTGCATTGCAGATCATCGTGAGACTGGGTGAGGTGATGAAACATTCCTGTCATCAGCCTCTGGGTAGACCTTGAAATCATGATCATACAGTCCTTTCTTCTCCAAGGTTTCTGGACATGTTCAAGGCTAAAGATGGAGCATGTTGGCTTGGGCACAGCCCTGGGCTTGCATAAAGCTGTCCTGTGGTGGTTGGTCATACTGGTCTGGGTCTCTAGTTTGGGTGCTTCGGTACTTAGGTCTGTTGAATGGTACTTAGGCCTCCATCTCTCTCTGCTGGTTGATTGACTTCAGACAAGATAGCATACTGCAGTGTAGGCACCAGCCTTGCAAATGTTTGTTTTTTTTTTTTAAGGCATCCAATTAACTTTTTTGCTGATATTCAAAGCAGAAAAAATATCTGTATAGGCTGTCAGAACCTATTTGGCAGGCTGGAGCGTGCTTGAGCTCCTCTCCGAGTTTGAGAGTGCGGACTAGGAGTTTGCTGGGTAAGATAAACACCTATCATGACACAGAAGTATTTTATTTTAGTTCTCTCTATTTTTAATGATTTCTTTCTTTAAGCAATCCCTTGAAATGCCAGCTTAATTTGCATCACTTTTAACTATATTGTCTCTGTCAGTGGTGGAATGAAGTTCTGGGCATGATAAATGTTTTTTCCTGTCCCACTGTGTTTGTACCAACCACGAAGGCCAGAAACAGCCAAGGGAGGACCTAGGCTTTTTCCATGGCAGGAGGTCACAAAACCTGTTGGGGGATTTTCTTCCTGTGGAGTTTCCAGGCCTGTGTGCCCCCCATAGCCTTCTAAAGAAACTAAACAGCAGACAAATTCCTTCTATCTTCCAGATAGTTTACATAAACCTTATCTGGAGCAAGACTCCCAGCAGAGACTTGGCCCTTTGCCTTGCTTCATGTTCTTCCTTGGAGCCAGCAAACACTCCTTGCAGTATGGAATAAACCTATCTGGGGAGATGCTGCTTGCACGTTGGGGTGCAGAGGGTTGCAAAGGTTGATCGAGAGCGGCGGTGGAGGACGCTCAGTGCTGCTTGTGGAGCTGTGGCCCAGGTGTTGTGCAGCGGGGTGCATCCCTCCCCTTCACCATTCCCCGACACATAGAGCTGCTTGTCTGTCAGCAGCAGATGGTTTGCTCTGAAGCCCGCAAGAAACAAGATCAGAGACTAGCAAGCCTTGTTCCAACCTCCAAGCAATAGTCTGCACGCCCCATGGTGTGTTAGCAGTAGGTTTATACAACTGCTATAATATATACATATATTGTATATATACAAACAGCCTTTGCTGTATGTGTAGTGAGTCCTCCAACTGTGCCCTTGAACGGCAAAGCTGAGATGGGATAAGAAAGATGAGGACCAGAGAGAGGTGGTCAAAACTTCTTTCTGTACTTCCATCTCTGCCCAGCTTTTCACTATATCAAATGTCACCTTGAGTTTGAAGAGCCCAGTGCAAGTCCTCAGGTTGTACTAAGTCATATCTGCTTGGAAACTAATGATTTGAAAGCTTTGCCAGAAGGCATTTCTGCTAATAGGGTTTTGTTTCACAGGGCTGCTTGCTACGCTTTTGCTTTTGAGCCCAACTGTATGTAGATTTAGTTTGGAGAAATGGCCAAGTGAAGCTGGGGAGGAGGAAATAGCCCAGAGAAGAGTCTGGAGACTGGGCTGTAGGACACAGACATCCTCCCTTGGGCAATATCAAGATCAAAAGTCTGCAGAGCTTGAGAGTTTGGGACCTGAGGTGAAACTAGATCTAGTGGGACTGGAGATGATAAAAAGCAATGCAATATTTGCCTTCAAATCTCCTGAAGCAAGACAAATGTGATTTGCTGTGCAGACAATCGTGCTCTCTGGTAGAGCCTGATAGCTGGTTGCTTCACCCGTCTGGCAGGACTGGGGCCGTAATAATGCGTTTGCGTGTCCAATGCTCTTATACTAGAAAGACACAAATACAACTGAGTGCTCTTCTGGCAAAAGCCAGCAAAGGAGATCCATGGGATGGCTGAAGATGCTTCTTGTCCTGAAATAAAGGATTTGTTGTGGACATGGCATATGGTATATGGGGCAAAAGCTAGTGAAATGGAGAGTTCCCCAGGAAAGCTGTAGATGTAACAAGCGACAGGACGAGAGGAAATGGCCTCAAGTTGCGCCAAGGGAGGATTAGACTGGACATTAGGAAAACCTTCTTTACTGAAAGAGTGGTCAGGCCTTGGAACAGGCTGCCCAGGGAAGGGGTAGAGAGGCCCCATCCCTGGAAGTATTTAAAAGACGTGTAGATGAGGCGCTTAGGGACATGGTTTAGTGGGCATGGTGGGGTTGGGTTGACAGTTGGACTCGATGATCTTCGAGGTCTTTTCCAACCTGAATGATTCTATGATTCTATGTGTGCACTTCCTGAGGGACACAGTACTGAGGGATACTGATCCATCAGTGCATGCAGCCTGCTCCTCAAACATGGGCTACGATCTTCCTTTGTACTCCAGAGCCTGCTTTCCTCTGTGCATGCACACGCCCTGTCTGTCTTCCTTGTGCCTTTAGGATTTTTAAGAGCAGCATTCACAGCACCTGCGTGAGTGCGACTCAACTGCTGTCCTTGTCCTGTGGAGGAAAAAAGTGAGGAACAGAGGCCATATGGCTCATATAATTTGTCTTGAAACGCTGGAGGAGGGAAAAAGTCCTTGCATTTTAAATAGCAAGAGAAAATCAGAAACCATCCTGGCATCTGTACCTAGGTGAAGTGTGGCTTTTTGCAGTACAGGAGAGCTACTGGTTCCACACTGGCTGACCATTTGTGTGTAGTGGTAGTGCTCCTCCAAGCAACATTTCTTTGGTATCATCCTGCTCCCCCACAAGCTTTAATTCACTGCTAGAAAGACTCTTCTGCATGACTCCTTCTACCTTCCCTTGCCTAAATGTCATCCAGTCATGCCCACTTTTTGCTACGCTAAATGTCTGTTGCCATCAGGGTGCTGTCTGAAAACCCTTTCTCTTAGCAGGTGTTTAGTTAATCAATCAGTTTCTTTTCAAAGGCTCTTTTAAAATGAATTATTCAGTCTCCAGATCTGTTTCTGTCCTTCTGGACTCCCATCAGGAAAGCATCAGGGTTGTGGCAGCAACGTGCTGGGAATTGAGGGCTCCAGCCCTCACTTGATGTCTGTTGGTTTGAAAGGATCTTGTCCTGATGGGTACAGGAATCGTCTGACACCCCAAAACATGAGATGGGGTTCTCTGTAAATTTTGAATGTTAATATGTTAAACTTTTCAGATGGTTTTATGAGCAGGTGTCTGTTGTCTTTGGTCTTCCATCTTTTTTATTCTTCTTACAGAAATCTAGTTGCATTTTGTCTTCAATGGCAATAGGCTTGACTGTCTTCTGCCCGTGATGGTAAATATGCCACTTATGCTGAGGATGAGCTAAAACAAGGGTAGAAGGTAAAAGCTGGGACCAAATCTGAGATGGAAGTGAGGAACTTGATCCAGTAGGACACCAACTTCTACTGCCATTTGCACCTTTAAAGTCTTCTCCCAAATGTCTTTCTTCACATGGTGCTTTCAGGCAGGTTGTCTTTGCTTCTGGGATCTGAAGAAGGTGCTGTCCATAATGTTGAATCCTACTTGCTTTTAGGTTGTTAGTCCTAAATATACATTCCTTATAAAAATAATTAGGCTCATCATGATGATCTTTGATCTCAAATTGTAGGTAAATCACCCAAAGGATTAATAATAGCAAAGACTTATTTGAGCAAAAGCTGTATCTGTCTCCTTGGACACCTTCACGAAGCCTGGAAACTCGCCTCCCATTACTGGGACCAAAAAGATACTGGTTGGTCTAGAAACAATCAGGCTAAACCTGTGGAAACCATCCAAGCGTGTCAGAGGCAAGAACAGCTCTTGATTTCAGAGCTGGAGGCTACAAATAGCATCGAAATAAACGTTTTTGGCAAGCCACCCATACAGCTGGTTTTCGGCGTGTCTTAACAGCGCTGAGAAAGACTGTGCCGAAACCGCGGTCCACGTGCCGCGAAGCGTGCGGCGTTCAGGCCGTCGAGCTCCTTCCTGCACGGCAGACGACACCGTGATGCCGTTTTGCAGCGGTGCTGACTCATTGGCTTTGCACAACTCCAGAGTGGAAAAGTACCCGTTGCTGGGACAAAGTACCTTGGTGGGCAGCCAACGTTTAATTTGCCTGTTGGGTTACTGCATGGGAATGTTTTGCCTCGATAGGGAGTGTGTCATGCTGTTCCCAGGAAAATTCCAGCAAATATGGCCTTGCACATGTGGAGTGGGTTTTTTTGTTGTTGTTTTTGGCTTGTTTTGTTTTTTTGTTGTTTTTTTTTTTTAACACCTGAAGGTGAAGCCTCCAATATATGTTGGCGTTCTCACAGAGATGCTGTTTTGTCATCTTGTGGTGCCAACTGTCAATAGAAACAGTAATGAAGACTTCTGGTTGGGATTGTGGCTTATTGGGGAGCTTTCAGCTAATGAAGA